TAAAATTACGCATTATTTTAAATAAATATTAATTCTCGGCGTTTTTATAAAAAAAGAAAAAAAGAATTTCAAATACTTATAACTTTATTGTAAAAACGCATTAAAGCTGTAAAAAGATTTTACTATTCTCTAAACACGTATGTGTACATGCGCATGTCTTTGCAAATATGCTTTGCGCGTCGGACGTACAAACATCAACAAACAACAAGCACGTAGCATCAAGACATTTGCTTTACAATTTCGTAATCACGCGTGAAAGCCGTCGAATTACATCACGACATTTACGGCGAGCCTAACGCGCGTAATCCATTAGGCACAAAAGGGTTAACGCGTTAGCGCAATCTCCTTGAAAAGCGGACCGTGCGGAAGCGATTATCGTGGCTGGAGTCGCGCATTGTCGTTGCGTACACGCACGCGCCTTCGTAAAATTACGGATTGCCGCGGCATTACAAGCTCGAGAGCGAGAGGTCGAATTGGCGACGATAAACGGAGGAAGAAACGAGGAGTGAGGAGAGAGGTGAAACGCGACCGAGAAGTGCGGTGTGACGACGAGAGGAGGGAGTTTCTAAACTACTAGCGTGTACCAAGTAAGTGCTAAACCGGCGCAAGGTGCAGAAGCTGCGGCGGAAGGGGATGAACGCACTAGGCGAGTTATGTTGGCATTGTTCTAATTTAATCATACATGCCAGGATCAGCTAAGATACTGGCTCAAGGAGCAAGTCGCTAGTAACGAGCCACCGGCGCAATCCACCGACGCTTAAATCGTGTTTCCTACCATGCTCGCCATAAATGTTCGTATTTCCTCGATTTCTCCTTAAAATACGTATCTTTACATGTCCGTGCTTAATTACGTGTACTTACACGTCGTCTGTATTTTACTCTGTTTCTTTTCGTCTTTGTGAAATACTAAACCGACAATATATTGTATTTTCTATCGCATTCTCATTTCGCGTCAAGCCTGAAACGTTTAAACAGGTAGGGGACGAGACGGGGACCGCCGAATTTCCGCTCGCTATGCGGACCACCGGCTCGGAAACGGGCTATAATTTTGCTCCGACCGTACTTGAGTGGGTTGAGTCGTGCCGAGCGAAACTGTGCCGCGACGCGTCTCTCGATGGAGGAGAAACGCGATCCTCCTTCTCTCGTACTTCTTGAGACAATTGCGTTCTCTCCCGGCGGCGAAATTGTCCAAGCGACACTAATGGCGAACGCGCAAAAGGAACACATCGTGATCACGTCGGACTTGCCACGATCTTTCATGCTTTGTATTGTAATTCCGCGAAGGAGTTGAATCTTGACATTTGTGGAACTTTAAGTGCAATCGCAGAAAGCCAAAAAGACGTAAAGAATCTTGTTGTTTACAATTCTTCTCGATCGTATTTACTTAAAACATTTAAGAATATGGTTACAGAATTTTGTCTTGTAAAAAAGATATATTTTTTTTGTTTTTGCATTGTTTATTCACGTAATGAAGGTCATGAGAGATCAAAATGAAAAACGCATTTGTTGTTGCCTCGACGCGAGATTAAGACACGAAGACGTTCCTCATCTCGAGCGAAACTCAGAATTTCAGGTTAAGATTGAAAATTGTTTGCAGAAATTGATGAGATATCTGGTGCGATCGAATCACTCGAGTACTGCGGAAAATAAGCGCGGAGCATCGCGAGCGACACGCGCAAGGGGATCAATATCTATCTCGCGATCTGGTATCAGAGCGCGGCGCGCTTCGAACGATGAGAAGCGAAATAGCGTCGGGTTCGAGGAGAGAGGAACATAATCGCGCTCATCGGCGCGCGAATTAAACCGATTTTGTCGAAGAAACGGCGCTCCATGCGAGAGAGAGCCTAGCTTTAAGTTAAATTTGTTCGCGCGGAAGCCGCGCGCATCGAAACGAGCCGCGATTATCGTCTGAACCGTGCTGGATTACGCGCGATAAAAGAGAGAGAAGAAAGATAATGGAATCCGAGCAAAGTGCTCGGCGAACCAGCCTCGGTGATCAAGCGTGTTCATCTCTTTAGTGCCTTAAGCCTTGCGAGGGTTAATATTCGACGTTTAGTGTCCCACAAGTCTGGTCGGGTGAATGCTTATCCGGTAATACTTTAAATCCGCCCTAATGGCGATATAGACACACACATAGCTACCGCTAAGGGGACATTCACGTTACACTATTAAAACCGCGTGTGCGATGGAGAATCTAATAACGCAAACGTGTGTGTTTGGTTTTTACCAAATTTTTCGTACAAAAGAATCACTCTATTAAAGCCGTTAAATAACTAACAGACATATCACTCGAGTTTCAGCAACAAATGGAATTGATCGCAGTTTTTTGTTTTCGCGACGATCACTTCGCAACACAATCATCCAACGCTCTCTCACCTACATGTATCCATTTTCGCGTGTCGAAAGCTTTTTTGCAATTCGACAGTTTTTTTCCCCCTCCGGTTCGTATATACAACAAAATGAACTCGCATCCCGTGACCTTTCGCTAGAAAAAAAAATGCAAACGTGTTCAATGAAAAACCGCACGGAATTAATTGCGCGCTACGCAACGCGCGCAGCAACGTTCCTCGATTATATCGTGTAGCGATGACGCCTTGCGTCGCACGCTCACGTGCGTTTCTTTCTCACGTGCAAATTACACGCGCGACTCGTGCGCTACGAGTGAAGTCTTTAAATGAAAACAACCCTTTGCTTATACATATATATCTCCGTTCTTTTTCATTTCTTTAGCCGGAACCATTCGCCGAGAAATAATGTTTCATTCCGTTTCCGAGTCTCATAAAGGTCTGTTGAGTGACGTTATATATTATTAAGCTCACGATATATTTGGTACAAGCAGTGATGAAAAATGTGAAGAGCTTCCTTTTAAAGAATTTTAAATTTTCCTATACAAACTCTATATATAAAACTTTCCTCTGTAAAACATTCTAGAATCCTGTGAAACCGAGCATGTTGGAAATAGCGCGCGCATACACACACGCACAGAAATAACATATCGATCGCGCGGAAACCTAAAATAAATAACGCAAGTCATCATCTATTGAAAGATCCCATCCCAGAGGAAGTTTAGTAGTCAGTATACAATTTGGATGTTTTATCAAAGAGAGATGTGCAAGATGAACAACTGCGACGTTAAATCGATCACAAGTAAGAAGACGTAGTCAGTAAGTCAGTAAGACTGACTCACAGTAACGTTCCACTGTTATTGAATCGAACGAAGGGTGAGAAAAATACAAGGGTGCGACACGAAGAATAGATGTGCGTATATGTGGTTTCTAGCTCTTGAACGCTCTGTGTCGAATGTCTTTCACGTACAACGCGCATGTGCGGCTACCGTTCCGCTACTTGCGAATCAAGAGAAGAGAAACAATTTCGATGCAACCGAACGTTTTTTATTTTAAATAAAGCCGACAGATTAAACGACGCGAGATTACTCCTCAATAATGTGTCATGTAGCAAGGATATTATTTAATAAAGTGAAATAGTTAATTATTGCCATTTTAAATATCGTGAAAGGATGTTCACATTTCAATTATGTAACTTGTTTTATCAGACTGAAACATGAATTTTTCTCTTTGTTTTTTTTTTTATTTGTATATCAAAACATGAGTCAGTACTCGCTCTTTCGCGCTCTTTAAACTCGTGATTTTTAAGTTCCTTTCGTGGGATATTGACTATTGGATCTACTTACAGTTATTAAATTTTCAAAGCTCTCATCCAGACATGCTCCGCGGCAGCATCGAATATGTACTTACGACTAAGCATAGAATTTCCGAGACTCTTCCGGGAGGCTTGATGGAAGAGAGGAAGCAACTTCGCTCTTCTCGCAGCAATTCTCCAACTTATACGACATGAGTTTTGCGCGTTGCGAAAGACGACGCGCGTAGACCAAGCAAGCCCGCGCGAAGTGTGTGCGCGCTATCCCGAGCGAGCAATGTAAGAAAGAAGAACTGAGAGAACACAAATATAGACGCATATTTATATAGACACGTGCAAACCCGATTCTCACGCAAAACTTTTGATCTTCTGAGTGGAATATTAATAAAAAAAAAAAAGTATAATAATTCTGTAGCTCTATTAAGTTTTTTTACGTTTTTTTACAGCCTTGTAGGATTCTCTTTATTTGGAATTTATAATTGTTTAAATGAAAGAAGAGGACAATGCCAAGACTTGAAATCAAGCTGAAACGCTAAAGCAAAGTTATAATATATTACGATATACAACAGTCGGCTTTCGCACGCCGTATCTCGCGTCCCAGGACGATCTTCTCTCTCGTATCGCCTGGAAGGGATGCAAATTGTGCAGCGGGCGTGCAACGTTCTCCGATCTGTAGTTAGCAATTCTCCCATCTCTATTCCCTCTTACGCGCTTACGAAGTTGCGGAGTTTCTACAAGGTTCCGAAGCAGATGGAAGAGGAACGAGAGAGGTTCTCCGGTCCTCGAGAGGGCTTAACCGTCGGACGGAGAGAGCGGCAACTTTCGCGCACTACATAGTCATATTAGTGTTATATGCGTTCTACTGTATCGTCCGGATGGAATTTCACCCCTCGTGTCCTCCCCTTTCCTCTCGCAAGAGAGAGATGTAGAAATAGCGAAGAAAAGAGAGGATTCGTGTGACCTCGCTAAAAATTTTCCCGCTGCTTCGGGAGGGAAGCATTAAGCTGCGGATGTCGCGCCCGCCCGCCCGCTCGCCATAAAGAAAGAGAGTGCCATAAAGGAAACTCCACCTTTGTTCAATTATCCTCGGTCTTACGCGGGCTCATTATGTACCGCCGTCGGAACTAATGAGGTCATTACGCCGCGGATGTTTTATTAAACATTACCGTTCTCGTTCTCTCTCTCTCTCTCTCTCTCTCTCTCTCTCTCTCTCTCTCTCTTTCTCTCCCGTATAGAAAATCGGGATGTATTTTCGCAGAAATGAGCGAATATTTCTGTGACAAATCCTCGTAAATCTCTTCGTCGTACGATGTTTTGAGAATGGATTGTTTATGTGCTTGCAGCAACAACAGCAACAGGCGCAGCAGCAGGCGCAACAACAGCAACAACAGCAGCAACAACAGGTCGGCTCACCGGGAAGCGGAAATGTGGGAAAGAGCAGCCCGTCGCCCGGAAATTCGTCATCCTCCGGTACGGCCGCGACTTCCAACAAGTCCCAAACGGAGCAGAAACCGGTGGAGTGCAATCTATGTCATCGAAAATTCAAAAACATACCGGCCCTTAATGGCCATATGAGGCTCCACGGTGGTTACTTCAAAAAGGTAAATTTTATATTTGATAAAGATAACGCCTGAGGGTTTAGGGGAAAAGCGCGAGTTCATGTGTATATATTTGTTTACGCGGAGTTCTAATAAGCTTTGGGGCCCGATAAGAAAATAGTTGGTGCGCGACAATATTTTATTAATGTTTTTTTATCTCGTAATTTTGTGTCGCTCGTTTTATATATACATTTCGCATGTAGCGATTATGCGAAGCGATTAAAACATATATATATATATATATATATAATGCATCTCTAATCTCCCGCGCGCGCGAAACGGAATAATTAAAGTTAAGCGTATTTGTGCTAACAGTCATTTTCCGACCAAATCTGAAACATTTTGCACGTAGTTTTACCGCGCGCTGCATGTAATAACTCTATGTACACACATGTGTAACTCGAATGTAATTATATATAATTACATTAAAAAAATATACACCGCTTTTTCTTTCTGCAAAACGTGTGACAAATGTATAAAGATCGCGGGCTTTCTTTACGGTCGCCGTCGTTTCTTCGGAATAAAGGAACTCATCTCGCAACGGCTTATTTCATTTGCATCCGCGCGCGAGAGCGCGTCGTCCAAACTTCATTTTCGGCGCGAAAACTTTAATATTCGAGAAAATCTCCGCTCGCGGTTCCGCCGAAGTTATAGCGCGCCGACGACGACGGGTTGCATCACCATATGAATTCGCAATCGCGCGAATTCGCGACCGCCCGCGTTGCATCCGAATAATCAACCGGCGTTTCTATGAAAATCTCATCAAGCCGTCGCCGTCGCCGCCGCCACCGCCGCAGACGGTGCTGTCGTCGTCTCGAAGGAGCCGCGATACTCAAGGATGCGGGATGATAATCGCCGCGGCGAAGACGCGAGAAAAAAGGCAAAAAGTGATATAAGAGAGCGGAGATCGCCTCCGGAGATCCGTGTGACTTCAACACACCTTGCTTTCTTCCTCGTCCCTCGCTTCTCATTCATTTCTGAGCGGAAGCGAGAAGATGCGAACACAGCGATGGTCTTAATAAGGTCAGGGGATAAGAGGTTGTTGCAGCCGTTGAAATAGAAAGATCAGCGATTCCGCGGACGTTCTCGCGGACTACCTTCTCTAACTGCCCCGTTTCTCTCCCTCTCCGTTTCGCCACTCACCCGTTCCTCCTCCCAAAGCTCTTCTCTCGCTGATTAAAAATGTCTTAACGAAGGCCGCGTCGTTTAGAAAAGTGCTGAAAAACTCGTCTGACAAAAAGTTTCCCCCTTTTTTTTTTTCCGCTCGATCCCGTTGGCAGAGAGGCGGCGAATGGACCGGGAATGTTCTTTATTCTGCAATTGAAAGACGATGACGTAACCGGCGCTGGAGAACCGGGTGGAAATAAACCGGTCTGGTCGGGGTCATTAAAAGGCAAGACGAAAGTCAAGAAGAATTATAATCGACGATATTGAATCGCCGCGCATAAATCGAAACTTTCTTGATCCGAATCCGCAAAACCGCTTCCCACACGATCGCGAAAGTTTTGAGAGTTACAAGGAAAGAAAACAGAGTCTAAGAACATATATATACATATATAAATCAACATGAAAGAGTCATGTTTGCGGGCGCGCCACATAAAAGTTTCCCGTTAGGGTATATGCGGTGTAGAAGAAAGCTATTATCATGTTTGAATATTCAATGAGTTGTTCCCAATCCGTCACGCACATAATCTCTTCGTCTCGTTTGGATCGTCGAGAGTCCTCTCTCTCTTTCTCTCTCTCTCTCGACGTTCTTGGTTTCTCTCCTCGCGAGTCTGACAAATACGTCGCATTAATTTTTCAATCTACGTTTTTAACGACCGTCTAACCTCCCGCTCTCGATTCCCCCTATTCGTGCCCATCTCGCTCCTATTTCCATTCATCGCTACGTACGCGACCGGAGAGTGGAAGGAACGATGGTCGGTAACGACTCGATAGAGTAAAGATTGAAACGAGGCGGAGCACGGGAGCGAGTAAATCAGCGAAGGCGAGATAAAGCGCGGAACGAGCGTTGCGAGGAGAGAGATAGCGCCGGTGGATGGAACAAGGTAAGGCGATGATCGAATCCAAATGAACCCATTAACAAGCTCTTTGGTTCCACCCGAACCAATCCGCGACGTGTCCGTGCTATGCTCGATGACGGAAGAGGAAAGAAGAGAAAAGTAGAACAAGGACGATTCAGCAAATCGAGAAAAGGAGAAGAAGAAAAGAGAAAGAGAGAGAGAAACAGGCGGGAAAACCTAGCACGCGCTGAGAGTCTCGTGCAAACATTGTCTCGAGCTTTCTCCATTATGCAGATTGAATCTGACTGGTTACGATCGGGGTTTTCAACGGCGCTGCTCTCGTTTCGAGCACCCGAGTTTTCACCGCGATATGTCTCCGCCTCCTGCCCTACGTCCGTTCTCGGGCTTCTTCTCTCCGCTCCTCTCCTCCCGGAGCCGTCGTTGTATCTGTTCGCTCGTGTTTCGCCGTGAAAGCTCTATCCGTCAGAACTAACTCCTCTTCCTGGCCGAGCTTTTTGCCGACCGCGTGCGGAATTATTGAAAAGTTTCGATGGCCCTTTGGATTCGAATCGAGGTGTATGTAGCCGGGGATTGATGTATATCGTTCGCGCGCGGTCGAGGGGGACGATGAAACACGAAAACTCAGCGAGTTGTAGGCACCGTAGCGTCTCGTCTACCGCACGACCGCGTTTGGGTTCGTTAAGTGGCCAGCCGCTGTTAATCCCGCGAGCGAGCAAAGGAGAGAGAAAGAGAGAGAGAGCGAGAGAGACATCTCTCTCTCTCTGCTTTCAGAGCTTGCAAGCTAGTAGACGGACGTGCGGTCTAGCTTTTTTTTTTTGTTTTTTTTGTTTTTTAAAGGTGAAAGCGAATTACGACATGTAATTTGTTGTATTTTTGCGACGATCCGCGCGCCCGCACACGCTCGCGAGAGGTCACGGCGACGGCCGTTTTTCATTACATCGCACCACTGTGTGACGAATGATTTTTCGGGACGATAAATCGTCAGCAATAAATCTGCACCGACGCGTTTCAGATTTATTTTCTGTAAGTAGTTGACGTGCGGCACGATTGATCGTCGTCCGCGGCCGCGGATTGTTGGAAAACATACGCGCGCAAGATTGTCGATTGATCGATGCACCGAGGCGGCGGCAGTCCAGATAAGAACAAGAAATATCGGAAATTGCCACGGACTTGGCAGCGTCCTCCATTAATCGCTTCTTTGTAATCGAGCTCTAAAACATAGCTTACGTGCTTCCTCCCCGTCTGAATTGTATTACTTGCGCGGGATCGTAAAACCGAATGCTGATAGATATATCGAACAATCAGAGCAAAACATCTTGATTGATAGATACATCTTTTTCCATAACTAGACAAGAGATTCTATCTCGGAGGGAGAGCATAGAAATAATCTGAAATTGAATTGATACATCAAGATGAAACGTTGATAAATACATCCTCGTGTTACACTTTCTTGCGGAAAACGGAAACAAAATTAATTCTCGCAAAAAAATCGAGTTTCCGAAGAAAGTCCATAAAAGTCTAATCGCGGACGACGCGCGAATAATTCCGTCAGCTGGAATCGACACTGATCGAATTGATGAGTTCGCAGCGGGGCGAACGTTCCCGCAATCAATTCCGCGTATTAACGACCGATCAATATTCATGAAACGAGCTAGCGACGTACGTCCCCGTCAAAGACAGAATTCGTGAGACATGCATAATATTATATGTTACGATTGCGGATACGTAAAGTGCGTTACGAAGTACGTGATAGGAAATTGAGGGATCGCGCCGCGATGATGACCGCCGACCGACCGATAATCCATTAAGGCTTGATGAAGACGACGAAGATGACGTTACGCGGATTAATGTATATTGTTCGCTAAGGGATGCAGATGCGAGAGATACATCCACGATGGCATTAGTATGCTAATTACAAACGTGTTCCGAAACTAGCGTTGAGGTTGTACGGATGCGGTGAGAGTGAGCGATCTCTCTTCTGCGATGTGAAAAACACGCGAACCGCAAAATCCGCTGGTACATCCGACACACGCGCGACTCTCGCGTAGAAACTTTAAGCGATATTTTTACACGGGAGGAAAAAAATTGCGCGAGCTTTAGCGGAAATTCCCGCGCTTAGTAAGTTGGAAGGCAGGGGCACCGTGTAGCTCGCAGTAAGTTCGCGGCCGGGAACGGTTTATCATTGGGGAATGTGGGCGCTTGGATAAGGACGACGAGTAATAATAAATCGATGCGACAATGATAAATCCAGAATAGCACGGCGCCATTGTGTCGTCGGTGACACTGGGCTTTGTTGATCGGTTTTTCAGATGAAAAATCGATATTGCATCATAGATGGATGCGTGTGGGATGGAAAGAGAATTTTATTACGCGTCGCGTCATGGAAATCCTTAAAGAACATTGAATCACTAAGAGCTTCTCGGAGAAAAAATGCAATATTAATAACATATGTAATGTGAAATGATTTTAAGATTTAAAAAAAAAAATGTATAATTCAAAACATTTCAAAAAAATGACAGATTTTGCTGAACAAAAAGTGTTGTTCTTGAAGTACCAACAATTATATTTAAATAAAGAGCAAAATGTGTGTGTGTGTGTGTGCGCGCGCGCATAAATCTTGTTCGCGCGTTGTTTTTCTATTGATTTTTTATTGAGCTTTCGCAATCCAGGATTTAAATTTATCCCCTGATTCTTCGCGAGCAAAGCCAGAACACTGTCCTTAGTATCTGGGCATATTACAGGATGTCGAATCGTACACGCCAGAGATTCCATTACGATATAATCCAATGGGCGCCTCAATTAGCCTTGCTCAGTGATTAGCGTGCACATCTCTGGATTCTCCTCCCCCCCCCCTCTCTCTCTCTCTGTCTCTCTCACTTTCCTCCTTCTCCTGTTCACTGTTGTAGCTTCCCTAGCACCATCTTCCTCTTAATACCCCGCGCGTCAATTTGCCCGTGATTTGAGCTTCTAATCCGGGTTCTCTCGTCACGAATCCTACGCGACCGAATCAGATGAGAACTCTCGTAGGACTACGAGTTTCGAATGAGGCCGCGTGCGACCAAAAGTCCACGATTGTTTGAGCGAAACGACGCGTCAAATATTTCACGAGGACAAGCAGAAAATATTTTTTTTTTTTTTTTTTCCAACGTTTTGACCACCAAAGACATATGCAAAAAATGTTTACGTACGTCAACATCACTTAACAATTTCATGCACAAAATTTGTTCTCGATTTGACAACGCGTCTTTTTTTTATTGCATGTTACAGGACGCGGAGAACAAGAAGACCGAGAAGAAGGAAGGTGTCGGTCCGCCTCTGCAGACAGCGTCCGTCAGCGTGAGAGCGTTGATCGAGGAGAAGATCATACAGAAGAGAACAACAGGTAAGACGAAAAGGAAATTTCGTACAACACGATTTGACGCATTAATTGTGACATTGGTAATAAAGTTGCCGCGGCGCTGTTGCCGATAATAAAGTTGCTATTTCCATTTTCACGTCAAAGGTGTATTGTCCGATATACAATACGGTCACCCCCCCAGAGGTGCAACGCGAGAACGTCATTGTTGTTCCCGTTCAGAATCCCGAAGGCATACATGTGTCATAACCGCGGGACAAAAAGAATTAATACACTGTTCCGGCGGGCGACGCTGAGAACACAGAATCCACGAATGCGATTCCGTCGTGATTTACGGGTCGCGCATCCCGATTCGACTGTGTATCTCTCCCGTTGTGTGTTCTCTCATCTGCTCCGCTCTTTCGCTCTCTTCTCTCTCTCTCTTTCGCGTTTACGCTCGCGCACAAGTGTGTACATGTACATTTGGCAGAACGGGAAAGGCCGCCCCGTGATATTTCGCGGAAGCCTCTCTCTCTCTCTCTCTCTCTCTTTCTCTCTTTATGGGGGTGTAGCGCATGGACTGCCGAAGAACCGTGATTTACGAAGCGAACACGCCAGAATATTTCTCGCATTGTCCACGTTGGCGCGATATATCAAGCCGGCGGCGGTAGCAGAACGGGCCGGCGGGCTCCAGGCCCGTGCTTTTGTAACAAAGTGCGCGTCGTTAGCGATTTATGCGCGATTTCGCCCCGGCATCTGCCAAGAACGGCGAGGGACGATCCGGCTATTCGGCTCGGCACCTTCTGCGCCGCTCCTTTCCGCCGGCTATAAACCCGAAATAAGCGCGAAATAATCGAGGTGCGCGCGTGCTCTCGCGCGGACGTGCGCGGACGCGACCGCTTGGTCGTTGACTCACGACCGTGGTTCCGAAATAATCTCGGGAGGAAGCGTCGACATCAAAGAGGACTCCATCCGCGTTTGTATCATCGGTGTATATTGACGCTAAATCCTTTTGCTATTTGAAATGTCTTGTGAAAATAAATATAATACGAAGAAATAATTCTCACACGCGACTCGTCGGCTTTATTACGGCGAACGCGCGGATTTCACATTGAAGAGTTTAACGACCGACGATATTCGTCAGCCGTTTTTAATGGTTGTTTAATTTCACAATGAGAATTCGCGCGCGATAATGAAGAATCGGGAAATGTGCCGGACTGTTTGTAACGCACATTCGGGCAATATGTTTCTCTCTAATGTAATTTATTTGGGGGAGGTTGAAATTAATGTAGCGCCGCAACATTCCCCTATGGTAAAATCTCGATTTGATTTTGCCTTTTAACAGAAAATTGTTCCCTTTCGGCGAGATATATATACATATATATATATATATATATATATATAGAATTTGTTTGACTGAGAATTCAATTGTTCACGCACGCGAGAGAACAAGCGTCACGGGCGTTATTTCAAGTAGTACAGATCGACGTTGTACGCGACGTTGCAATATACGCGGAGCGTGTACAAAAACAGAGACGAGAGTTTCTTTTCGAATTCCGCTTCGCCACACACGCGTCGATGGACTCAGAAATTCTATGAATATTCGATTACGCGAACGGTTATTAATCAGCATACAATAGAAACCCGGCGTCTACACACGTCGTTCCCATCAACATCCCGGGAATTGTTGACAGTCATTTAGCCTGACCCGTTGTTGTCGGCCATTAGTTTTTTGAAAGCCTCGAAAGTGGCCGCACACAACAAGATCGATCGATAAATAGTTTGCTGGCGAGGACCGGTGCTAGTTCGACGCGCGCGATGCGCGCCGCTGACGATGCAACGGGAATGCGCCGTTATTTGGTTGTTCGGTGATGCAACGGCACCGGCGCACACATTTTTGACAAAGGATGACGAGAGCGATGGAACATTGATGGAAGCGCGCCCGGTCATGCCGGGCCGTCCAGCAAAATATCGTTTCATCGAACGCTTGGCGAACACCAAAGAACCGCTTCCCGGTTTGATAACAACTATGCGATAAATTAAACGAAGAATTAAACCTTTGACACGTGTCGCGATACGATTATTGTTTCGTAATGCTGAAATTAAATTGACTTGTAATTGGGACTTATTTTTCCTCGCGTATAAGGTTATAAATCAATAAATTTTTTGATAGGTTTTCCCTATGTCCCCTATTTATTGATAACACAAAAGTTGAAAAACTATCGTTTAATCGCGTATATTTCCTATATGTGTGTACTATTTTTCTATGTATTTACGGTCGACAGAAATTGCGTGACTTTTGCTACGTGTACTTTTTTTTTTTATGTACACAAACGTCCGCGTAAAACTATTGCATGTGGATACGTGGATTGTCATTGCAAACGAAGCTTTGCTTTGTTCCCCCCTCGACTTCCCCGTTGCACCGACCACAACGATTTCCATTCGAAGTGCAGATAGAACAGACCGGAGACAGGCCTGCGCGTCTGCCTCGTTCGAAGCAATTTGCCTCACCGCGATCGATGATTGGCAATTTGTAAAAATATCACGCGGTCTCGCGCCGCCGATGCGCGCTGTCACATGTGCACGAACGATCACGGAATTTGCGGTTTATGTAAATTCACACGCCTTTCGAACGGCGGTCGATATATAATCGTAGAACAAAGCGACGTTGCGCGCTTTTAACAAACCGCGAAATATCGATGCTTGTGTTTATAACTTTATTCAATATCTTTTGAGAATTTCAATTTTGATCTAAAAATTTACGTCGCAAAAATATGCTTTTGAGTAAACATTTGACACAATTTCATTAATTTACGAGTACTGTGTTTTTTTTAAACATCGCGCGTTGTAACGGGGAATCGTCTCTTTTGTAATAAATCATCTGAGGGTCGCTAATTACGTACGGACGCTACGTGTGATAAAAACGTAAGAATCTCGCGATGGACAATATAATGGCCGAAAAAAAAAAAGTAATACCGGAAGAGAGCCGCTCGAAGCCAGAATGAAGGCCAGATATTCATGAAATCGTCGTGGAAAAGTTTCGTCGCAATACAGCTGTACCACTCGGCGAATCCCATTTCCTCCTTTCGCTCCCTCGCAGCGTCCAGGATATGCACGCATTTATTTCCGTCGAGTTGTACGGCTACCATGAACGATTGTGCACGCCGTAGAATATATTTTTCAGTATGCCGCGATTTTCAGCAGCAGGCAGGAATATTTATTATGACGCGCGCGCGGTGAAGAGCGCCAAGTGCGAAGTGAAGAGTTGCGCACGCAAATTTCTTTTTTTTTTTTTTTTTTTTTATTTCTGTCTCAGTGGAAACAAGTAAAAAGATACATCTTATTAATTCTTTTGCGTTCTTCTCGATTCGGGAGACACTGCGATGTCACTAGTACATCGTATGTTGCGTGTTTTTTTCCGAACAAAATCTCACGTAACAGTACAATTTGAGGTCGAGAAAAAGTAAATCTATAATTTTTCTCCCTTTAAATTTGAAACGCGGTATAAAAGAGCGAGGTATTGCTTTATTCGTTCGATATTTCTGACCAGTGAATATTATCGAGAGAATTTAACGAAGGTTGGTTTTCTTTTCACCGTTTTCGCGCGACATGTCGATTGAGCGATATTTCAAGTCTCCGCTCGGTTATAATACTCTGTCATCCGCGCGCTTTCGTAAAAATCGAGTCGGTCCGCCGCGGACTACGGAATATATTATAACCGGAACGGGGCATGAGCGCTTTTTGAAATTTAAATGTAGTTATTCCAGCAAACCTACCGTTCTGAGAATATGCCGTGACGTACTACGCACACACGCTTTTTTGAAATTTAAATATTGTTATTTTTAGAAATACACACACATACACACACAACGTACCGAAAAATTTTTATTGCGCGAACAGAGAAGAAAGAAAGAAAAAGAGACAAAAAGATAAAAAGAGAGAGAAAGAGAGAGAGAGAGTGTACAACGTATGTTGTTGCTTCAGCCAATCCTCTGCGCTTTATTCCCTTTTCCTCTCTTCAATTATATATACGTAAAGCCAAAGGAAAAACAAAAACCGTCGACGTGTGCAGCGAGCGCACACCGCGCGGCTGAAAGAGAGCAAGCATTTCGCGACCGCCATTGTCAGGTGAAGGGCGAATCGAGGGAAAAATAAAGAGGCGACAAAAGATCCTTTCATTCCGAACGCGTACATACGTTTCCGTCCACGCATACGGACGAGCGAACTTCCGTTTTCACAGTCTTCTCTGAGAACTTCTCTTTCCTCATCTCTGTTTATTCCGTTCGCGAAGCGTCGCGCTCTTAGCTAAAGGGAAAATATCTTACCAATCCATCTTTTCTGCTCGCAAACACACGAAGTCCTCGGGGATCCCTCTCTCGTGCTCGTCGTTTATTTTCAACATGAAATGCAAGAGCAAACTAGAGAGATGGTGTGTGTATATTTACCGTCAACTATTGCGAAGCATCTTTGTTTTACAAGAAATGTCATAATAGATAAAATAAAATTTAAAAAAAAAAAGTGACAACAACAGTAGCGAGAACACGCATTTGTTGAGACAAAAACGAGATTGCCTAATAGCAAATATATATGCGCGTTTTAGCAGCGGAAACGAATGTCACTCAACAGCCTCGTACAAACACCACCGTCTTCACCACCCAAACCGACGTTGTCTCGCAAGTCGCCGGCAAGACGAACTTCGCGGTACCGGCACCGCCACCTTTGGCGGCGGGAGATAAAGCGCGCCGGCTTTCCGACGGCGAACACTTCCGGCAGCCTAACGTCACCGTGGCCAGTCATACACCTATGCAAAAGCAACTGCAAGATGCACAACAGAGAGCTCAGGCTCAAGCGCAAGCGCTTGCCGACCTGATCTTGAAGGTATAATGTTGCTCGTTGATTGGACACGGTTTTTATTGCAACGAGAACACAATACGTTTGCAATTTGTTTTATTAAAATGACGTAGTTCATACGTAGTTAAAAAGTAAAATTTTACGTATAATTCGCGAACAAACAACCGTAGGGTTCGAAGGTGGCTGTGAAGCGAACAACTTCCGATCCGGGACAAAGATTACAGCTGACACCTTATCAGCAGTCTGTGCAATCAACGACTAGCAATCAACAGCAAACGAATAATCAGCAGCCGCAGCAGTCGCAGCCTACGGTAACGGAAAACTTCACGATGACTGGTTACTCCGAAGACGGCGGTTACTTCAGTCCGACTCTGCAGGACGAGGTGTTTCAGCAGGTTACAACAGTTCCTGACAGCGTGCTTCTGCAGGCTACGCAGTTGGACTCGATTCAGGTAAACATTTATTTATATAAATCGACGAGTTGTTTGTTATTTCACAGATGATTGGACGTTAGCGAGAGAGAGCCAGACATTTCTTGTGACGAAGCGGCATGTTTGATTTTCATGTTTGTGTGTCGCAACAGTTTCAAACGACCAGCCTGTTACAAGAACAATCCAACGAACAGCTGCAGGATATCACGCTGGAGGACCGGTACTCGTCGCAACACACCGTCAATCCAGATCTTCAAGCGTTAGTCAACTCGCCATTGCCCGATTCTCTTGCCGAATTCGGTACTTATGCCGCGCAATATACAGAAAGTCCTCACACATTGCCTACCCAATCGCCTCTGCCGTCGCCTTTGACGCGACACGATAGCCCGAGCTTCACGTATCCCACACCACCAGCCAGCCAGGAAGGCCTACTTACCGGAAGCCTGCCACTGCTGAGTCCTCAAGAGGATCCGGAGAGCGTGAGGCAGGTGTCGTCACCGCTCTCGGCGGCGTTCTACACCACCACGATGTCGTCCGCCGCGGCTGTGGAGGAGGCACTGAACGAGGTGCTGCCGGGGGAATCTGACGCGGACGCGGACCTCTACGGGTCCAGTTCGCCGAATCCGCACTCGCCACTGCCAAGCCCGTTGTCGGCGACACCAGCACCGTCGCCGCTGTCCTCGCTGCCGCCGTCCTCCGTCTCGTCGCCGGGACCGGTGTCTTTTACCGGCGCGAGCTTTCCCGTGTCGCCGCATCACACACTCCAAAACCAGATGATGCCAAACTCGGAAGATCCGCTGCTGTCTTCGACTCCGAAGGACTTTGCCGCTTCCGGTCGCAAGCGATTTGAGTTCCAGTCGTACAAACTGATCACGAGCCAGAACTTGATGGACTTCGGCCTCGGAAATGGCAGCTTGGCCGGCATCGTTGTCGATAACAACGGTGAGTTTAAGTTGATACAGACGGCGGGTCTGCAGAAGGCAAATGTGTTGGTGCAAACGAACTCGCTTAATCCAGCGTTAGCGATCAAGAAGGAGATTCGTTTGACGACTCCGAAAGTCGAACCCGTGACCGCGAATCTCGGTCTAAACGTTCAAGCAAATCAACAGCAGTGCAACACGGGACAATTCGGCCACCAACATGTCGTTTACCCGACTAAATTTCTTATCCAAACTAATAACGCGTCAAAACACAATGACCTGAAGCACAAATCGGCCAACGGAAGTTTGCCAATACCCATTGATCAGATCAAGGAGGAAGTGTACGACATAGAAGACGTGCTTCTCGGTTCTGGCAGTTTATCTGCTAACAGTCCCGTGCGACACTGTCGAAAAAGGCCGCGTATAGACAGCGGTCAGTACATCAACAGTTCGTATTCTTATCCTTCGCGGTTGCGAAAGGCTTGCGATCGTCACTGGGACAGCAGCTACACGCCACCGCCGATCCTGGATCCATCTCGTCCCGGACCGGGTCTGTACGCTAGATTACATCAGTACGACCGAGATTCGGACTTCAGCTCGGACGATTCTCAAGGAAATGACGGTCCACCGCCAAGGATCAACATTGGCACGAGATATCAGGCCACAATACCGCCGCTCAAGCAGGACAGGTACAGAGAAAAGAACAGTTCGGAGGCTGATCATCTTCTGTGGGATCCTGGCATAACCAACACGCTCACAAACACCGAATGTAAGTTTTTGTTTCACAAAGAAGAAAGATCTAGAAATATCATGTGAAATGAACGTCACTGAAACTTCAATGAATATTGCTCGCTTGCAGTGGAGATGTACCTGCAGTTCGCGTGTTGTGCCGCGATGCCAGGCGGTGGTAGAAACAAGGAATATGCGCTTCATCTACTGCACATGTGCAAGGGAAATATTCATGTAAGACACACTTTTGCATTAAGTTGGTAAATAATATATCTCAAATTTCGCTTATGCGAATATAATTGACATGTTTCAGGAAGCGATGGTTAAGTTAATGCGACCAACCCCTACACTACCAGTGGAACATCCACTGCTCAGCTACGAGTGCCACGAGTCCGATAGATGGACGTCGCATGAAATGGACGCGTTTTATCAGGGACTGCTCAAGTACAACAAAGATTTTTCCGCGATTTCGCGGGACGTTGGTGCCAAGACAGCCAAACAGTGCGTGCAGTTCTATTATCTCTGGAAGAGGCTCTGTCCTGACGAATACAAGACGGTGCGTATGTGTCACGGAAAACTAAAGATCAAGAGCGAAATCAAAAGCGAAATCAAAGATAGCAAAGACACCAAGGAACTTCGCGATGCTATCGCGTCCGTGACGGAAATGGACTTCAGCGAAGAGAAATCGATCTTTCACCGTACCCTGGTAAGTTTAAGTGCACTTCACTATTGCTTTCTGCTTTAATCATGAAATGTTCATGTAATTTATGTAAGTGTGCGAACGTGTACTTATAAAAACATGTTACTTTACTCTTCTATCGATTTAACAGCATACAAACGAAAGAGAAAATTCTGCAACTTTAACCACCAGCGACGGAGAACTGAGGTTATTCGCATACGACTGCCCAGATGTAAGTAGAAAAAAACACTTTTTATTATCGTACTTATTTAAACATCTCATGTCAACCTTTCACAATTAGTTACATATACATGTAATAATGGCTGTTCAGACTTTTGGTAAATTAAAATTTATAAGCACTACATTTCCCATTCTAATGTACTGTAATAACATATTGATACTTAAAAACCTGAGGTTCAGAAAAAAAAGAAATACGTTTATACAAGATTTTACTTCTATGTTTGCTGCTCACCGCATATACTCTACTTTGTCAGATACGCCGAGTAGAAAGAAGTGTTCTATTAAAATACACAAATAGAAAAAAATTCAAGTTTTTTATTATAAAATATTTTATAGAGAATTCAGAGAGAGATTAAAATAAAAACATTTCTTTCTCTTACTCGGTGTATCTGAAATCAATCTTACACGCGTCTACGTGTGAATATTTCAGTGTCGCATGAGATTGATTGTTGATCCATCGTTTTCTCACGCTTTATTTTAAAAGGACTGAGGATGTTGTGCGTTGTGTGACCATTGCGTTATCTATCTGTCGTCGCCGTTGTTGTTTGTTTGTGTTGTTTATTTTGGCTTTGTGTTTTCTTTGTGTTGTCAGAGCTTTAGCGGAAGTGTAACAGTAACGATGGCCGGGAGCACCCAAACCGCCCAAATCGGCAATACCGGCCACGCAACAGTCAACACCAACTCACAAACTCACACTAGTTCTGAGCAACAACTACCCGCGCCCACCCTACTTCACTACCCCTGCAAGATTTGCGGGAAGTAAGTCTCCAATCTCTAATCTAAATTATCCATTTCCAATAATTGACGGTGGAGCTCGTGCGACGCGCGTGTCCTAACGACAATGTAAGCGGCAAGTATTGGCGCATCTCAACAAGAATATCCCTGCTTGTAGAGAGAGACAGAGTACTTTTCTGCACACGGTTTCGAGCCAAGTAGCGAAACGATGCCGACTATATATACGTAGCCATGAAATTCCGTGTACATATCCCCCTCTTATATACTTTTATACCAAATAGCTTACAAACACCAGTATAAATGTTTTATCGACAATAATATTGCATAAAAGTTAATTGAAACAATTTAAGCAGACCAACCGCAACAGCATTATACACTCTATATACACAAGAATATGAGCGCCATTATAAATACAGTACATTGCGTTTCTGAAAACGATACGTAAAATATAGTAATAATTATTTTATATAATGGACATGATAAAACTATTCTTTTCCTTTGTGATATAATATACATGTAAACATATAAACATATAAACAAATATATATTCACGATATACAATCATATAAAAAAGGACTTAACATATATATATATTATGTGACAACAATATTCATTGTATAATGTGTCTAATAATTTTGTTTACCGCTCACTTCTCTTTGAGTATTCATTTGATATATATTTTGACATATACTCGTTCATGTGCCATTGGCGATTTTGATTGACTACTTGATGTTTTACGCGCCTGGCATACGTTTCTATATTCTATCGTTATTTTAATTTGCTGTCTAGATACTTTTAATTATATCTTTCCGTTTTATTTTTCAATATAAAAATATTTGTCTACAATGGCTCTGTGGTATGTTGTAATAAGTAAATTGATATATAAAACGCATAACGCAAGCATGATAGGTATATTAGACTGCTGTTGCTGTGTCAATATTTCCAATTATTCCTTCCAATATGTCATATTATATATGTGAAATATATGTGAACATACACTATATACTAAACTATATTCTGAATGTCTAAATCACAAAATATAATCCAAAGCTTGCTGAGCGAAGTTTTTTTTTCTTTTGGATGTGTGCAAACTCGAAATTTGATCGTTTGTTATGTGTATATTTCTATATTATTTTCTATAAATTATCATATAAACTTTATATAATGTCGCAAACTCCTCGGGCATCGTGTTCACGCATTGTAGATCTCGCAATTTCGTCCGAAATGATTTTGCAATGAAAGTACGATAAATCCGCTTAACGTTCCAAAATCACACTTTTCTTTCAGAGTTTTCAACAAAGTGAAAAGCAGAAGTGCACACATGAAATCTCACAGACCAATACCTTTGCCCGATTCAACGGCTCAGGAATCTAAGCGACCCGCGCAACAACTGTCGAAAGCGCAACAACTGCAACAACCATCACACCAAAGCCAGCAACAGCTGGAAAATTCTACGCCACAATCTCAAGATCACCAACAGCAACTGCCCGCGAATATCAGTGACAACAGCGCCCACAACACAGCACATTTGTGTCACAATCCGACGAGGCCCCCATAGGACGAGATCCAACTTAAACTTAAGTTACCTTAACAAAGGCTGTAATGGTACGATAGGGAAGTAATTACAAAAAATCGCGCGTGGTACTTACTTAATAATCGCGACCGTCGCACAATAGTTATGAAACAAACATACAACAGAACTATCTTTTTACGTAAAGATGAGATCTTTTGCTCACACGAAGAGGTAGGGTTGCGTGAGTAAACTTCCAAGACAGTTCCGAAAACGCAAATACCTCCTCGACACATTTGTGCGAATCTGCACAAGAAAGCGTAACAACTATAAGTAAGTGCACCCGGCCAGACGCATTAACTCGTGACTTCGTAAGAATCTGTGTAGGGCTATGTGTGGTAGTCGGTCGTTCAGAAAAGAAACAAACAAAACAAAAAAACAGAAGAGAGACAACATCCATCATTAGTGAAGGCAAGAAGAGCTGTAGTTTAACTATGCAATCGTAATTCTCAGTTCGAGCTCTGTTTAACAAGGAGACAGGGTATTGATTTTTCGTAGCATGGAAAAAATGAGGTGTCGGCATCAAATATAAAAGTGAAAAACTGTCACCGAAAGGCGAAACGAACGAATAATTTCGTACTTTGCGTTTCTTTTTTGAGAAGAGAAAAAGTAAATACGCGATCGTGAAATACGCGTTTTCAACATGAGCTAGAAAAATCAAACGCAACTCAGTAAGTTAATGTGCGGAGGAACATATTTTCGCCATTATATTAAGAGAGCTCAACAAAACTGAAGGAGATTGATGTGCACCTACAATAAGCGCTCTAGTAAACGCGATTTTGGTGTACCTATTTATTATGCACGTAAAATGTTCCCAGATTGTGCCACAAGACATTACTGTTACCTGTTGCCCTTTCGCAATTTTTTAAAAAATGTTTTAGGTTGTTTTTTCTCTCTTTCGATTCGTTACAGCTGGGATCGGCTTACATCGAACTGTCTCATTCGGGATTTTTAAGAGAGATCAGAATAGATATCTCTTTTAGTTTATACAAGTTTTATGATTGTCTGAAATATTATGCAACATTAAAAAACGGGAAAAACTTATACCTTGAATAAAATTTACATTTATATAATATTATAGCTTAATTTGAATAAACGCTCGGTAAGATTATACTACAAACTGTGTAAACGGATCCCAGAATGTAATGTACGACTTGTTGCACGTTCGCTCTAGTTACATTTAGTTTAAATGTTATTAGCATATCTAAAACTTTAATAAGGATATAAGTGGATCCTACTATGTGTACGTAGATTTGTTGAAACTCCTTAATTTCTTTACCTCTGTTAGTAGCTTAAAATAGTACACAATTAAATAAAAAATTTTAATATATACGAAATATATATATGAATATATAAATATATATATATAATATATATATATATATAAATATATAAATATGTATAAACACACACAAATTGATGTAATTGAAAAGAACTCGTTAGCTTAAGCGAATAATTCTTTAGGAAGGACGTTGTTCAAGTTTCACTTCAAAGACGTTTCTTACGTCTCTGAGAAAGAGAGATACTATATGTAAAAATAATGATTATATATACATATAGAGGTACGCGCCCATACATACATACTATACATACGCACACTTCACACACACAACACGCACAGAATAGAGAAAAAAAATATTAATATTAATATTATTTATTATAATATTGAATTTCCCAATGAAGATCATATTGAAATAGCTATATGTACATAAAGTATGTACATGTTTGTACATATAACGTCAGTGTCTATGTGTACAATTAAAGTAAACTCTATGCAAAAAAGTAAGTAGGCTAGGTCTTAGGTTGGTCTAGGAGGGATCTTTACATACATATACTATATAAAGAAAAATACATGTATTTGGCTTTATTTTCTATCTTACTAGAGACTACGTGGCGAGGCTCTTGTAAAAACAATAATAATAACCGGTATTTCTATAATCTACCTGGAGTTTTAGTTCCCGTTCACAAAAAAGAATTATATAACGATGTTCCTATATGTAAGGTGCCTTACGCAATATCAAAAAAAAGAAAAAAATTTCTGTTTGGTTTACTTTGGTAACGCACTGAATTCTTTCTTTGATTATTCTCTAAAGTAAACAAAAAAATGAAAACAATAACTCCAAACGTTTTTTCTGTTCTTTCTTTATAAAACAAAAATATCTTTATTGAGAAAGATTATAATTTATATGTCTCATTTTTCCCGTGCTTATTTATTTAAGTTCTTATTTGTGTTTGTGTGTTTATGTATTTATATATATATGTATATATATAGGAACATCCTTTTTTTCTCACAAATTACATTCAATACATTAAAAACAAAAAAAGCATGCATTTTCTTAAGAGAGACACAAGTGTAATAAAACAAAAATGTACTATCTAAATTTTATAAAGATTAAAATATATTTATATATATATACCAAGTTTCATTTATATTGAAACTCTGAATTGTTATTCAAGAGAGTTGCCAATCGTAGATGCTCTAATTCTACCTTGTGAACATTGTTATTGTTAACACTCTCTTCTCTTCTTTATAACTTTTACCGAAAATTGAATGAATCACACAACGTACACTTTAACTTTTTAAACTTTTCTCACATGAGAGAGCGCAAGTGACTGAGGACGCTTTAAAGAAATCTGCCAAGTCTTCATATATTCGTAAATATGGCTCTAAATCTTCCATTTATTTCGATCAGGAATAAAAATCCATGATGACTGTAATGCAAGTTTAATTGTCAAAAAATGAGAAATACTCATATGACATTTGAACACTCAGAAGCGTACGTAGTCTTTATTCTATCTTTATGTATGTGTGTGTCTCATTAATCTCCCCAATTTACAAAAATGTAATGCAAACATCAAATATTCCGGCCACAACATCTACATTATCTATTTCTTTACAGACAAGAGAGACTATTATGAGGGAGTATTACCAGGGGCACAGGTTTAACGCATGGTATTATATTTGACGATATAATCATAATTTGTCATCCGTTAACTTGGTTAAATTTTTATTAGCATTCAATAATTGCAATATTAGAGAGAAATCCTCTATAAAAATTATCTCATAATGATTACAATTTTATTTGTTTTACATAAAAAGTTTATATCTGATGCTCTATTAGCGACGAAGTACATTCGTAGACGTTTATATAATATATTTCAAGTCCGTGGAAATACTCCTTTGTAGTCATATTAAATGAAATGGTTCTGTAACGTCTGAGTAATAATAGCCTCCAGTATAGGGATTAAAAAAGTGTGTAGCGTTAGATATTTATATATTGTACTATAAGATTCTAGAATTTTTCGAATCTTAAAGTTAGTTTATTTAAGGAGTAAAAAAGTGTTATGAATTTTGACCACAAGCCCGGCGCGTAGGTCGAATACAACAAAATTAGCAGACATATCATTTAAGACAATACACTTGTTACAGAAACTAAGTTTCTACTAATATAATTATTATTATATGTAATATCTATAACTCTCTCTTAATCAGATTTAGAGCTTGAAGAGAGAAAACATCGTAGATAGTAATAAAAGGAACGAAGAAAGAATAGATGTTAGCTGATCAAATCCAGAGAGGATATGATAAAATGTTTTATAAATAAAAATTAGTTTTGTTGTTCATTAATTAATTCTAATGTAAATTCGATCTGCACATTATTTAATAATTGTGTAAATTCTATGTGTGTGGCAAACACAACACTCACATTGAAGATTTTATTTACTAAATATAGTAGATTTATAATTTACTAAATATTGTTTTTTATTATTTTTTGTTAAAAATAATAAAATTTATGCTCTGGATTTAGAACAGAAGCAATATGAGACACGTACTGGAGGCTACTTACTCAGAATGTAGGAAAGACATGAAACGAAGCAATGAAACAGTAACGAAGAATGCTTGAATTGTACAAACGAGTCCCTCCACGTCACAGAAAAAAAAAATGATATATCTATATGAAGAATATATATAACACACAAAATAATAACTATGTGATGTATTTAAATGGTATGTGTGTGGTATATATGGTATTACATATTTGTACATAGGCGGACCCGTGCCATCAACTAGTGAGTTGTACCGATATTGTACTGCCATAATAATCGAATAGTGACTTAACACCGAGTGAATGGATCTGAACTATCATCAGCAAATCTGTAAATGATATGAGTTTTATTTCTGTGCTCTCTCACACGTGTCTATATATGTGATTAGATAATTAACTTGAAGTTACCAACTAACACTTAACTTAATGGCTGTGCAAATAGAGCATTTTGCACTCATTGATAATTATTATTGAACAGTTGTGTTGTTTCATAATAATTTACATTTTATTGTGTGAACAGTTCAAATATTATATCGAAAATTATCGTTTTGTTGTTACTATATAATTACACTTCTGTTTAAGTTAATGTCACATTACACACTTAGACTTCCGCTGACGTTATTATGTGTTTAATTTGTTGAAATATTTATTTATATTTATTTTCGAAATCCCATAACAAGCTGACAAAAGACATTAATCGTGATTATTAATATTTCGTGCTTGGTTTTTTTATCATAGGTGATTTTCCTTATTATCTGTACATTAATTATTGTACTAATGTTAATATATATACTCTCTGATGTTATATTATGTACACCAATTAAAAAGGATGCTGATGTGATGCAGCAGTCGCAAATCAAATTGTAAATTCACATACCAAGTAAATAATTTAGATTCCTTATTGAAAAAAAAGAAAGCATAATAATCGAGTATAATAAATGCAAGAAAAAGAATCTTATCTCTCTCGCACGGCGATGAATACATATGTAAACATTTCTATACGTAATTAGTTAGTGACGTTTTGATACGTTTTAAATTTTAATTTACTTATTATTGATAATTTATTTATTATTTCAATAGCTATAATATTTATTATATGATAACACTGTTACAAAATTGCACACAATATTTTTTCCTACAGAATGTTCAATGCACGCCATGGCTCGTACGTACGTTGACAAAGCTCTTGTGTAACGCTGAATATAATTATTGATGAGGTTGTTTTTTTTAATAAGTTGTGGAATATATATTGGTACAACTCGATGAAGAAAGTGTAGCGTGGTTATACACCTGAGGAATGTGCTCAAAATATTGTATTAAAGAGAAACAAGTCTACTAAATGATCATCAACGTTTATGCAAAATTACTCTTAATAAGTGGAAAAAGTTATTACGGATTATTGATATATTGTAATCTATCGTCCTCTTACCTATTACCTACTTTAATGTCTATCTCTATACGCCAGCATGGTTCTTTATACTCTTCTATTTGATGTTATACTATTCTCTATTAACTTTTACTACGGAACGTATTGTTAATAGTGT